CGATTCATGGAATGGAATTTTAAACGATAGAAGATACGTAGATATATGTATGTAGGAAGTTGAATAGTTTCGTAAGTAAAGAGTTAACTCTACTATATGTCGAAGTACGATTTCGTCGGTATGTACATTTGCGAAAGGTTGATTTATACCACGGACATCCCCCGAAATTTTCGTTCCTCTTCGCTACTTTCGGACAATGCGCACGCGGAAAGGGGTCCATCGTAAATTACACAGCGAACAATGAGAAGAATCGCGAGCTCGGAGATCATTTCTCTGCGTCAGATCCACCGATTCCTGGAATACCTCGACAACCTTTAACAACTCGTATCGAATTATGCCAGGAATTTTCTTTATTTTTATTTTGGTAACCCGAAAATTTCGATTGCTACTTTAATTCTTCTCTATCGAGGTTCTTTACAAACCTGCAAAGTTTGGAAAAAATCAGAATTTCTGGGTTACCGAGGTTGCAGTATGAAAAGGAACAGGAGAATTCGATTTTTCTGAGATTTTCACGTTGCTCGTGGCACGGTAATCATGCGAGCCAGAAAGACTGGCGTTGAAAAGTGTCGCAATGCAGGACGCGTTCGCGATGCTCCAGGCGATCCGCGACTTTCGAAAAGTCCCGGCACCTTGTCGTGCGACTCGCAACTTCTCCGTGACGTCAATGTCTTTCGCGTTCGAGACGTTCCGTGACCTCGCGCGGCCCGGGGTAACGAAGTTCGGAGCGAACACCTACGCGACCGGGGTCAGACAGTTTTGGAAATTCAAACGAAACGCGAACCCTCTCGAATCGTGTTACCCGTTCGTGAAACTTTTGGTATCGTTCAACTTTCCCTTGCGAAAAAACCGGGAGTATCAATTTTCCGCTAGGAAGGAAAGTCACTTTATGCATCGAGCAAACGTTTCTTCGCAGAACCTGTACGAGTGGAATTTTTGATTAACAAACAGAGTGTGAGAAGCAAAAGAAGATTTCATCCATTCGTGCAGAGGGGGAGAGAGAGAGAGAGAGATAAATGGAGAGAAGCTGAGTGGAGTTTAATTGGATTGCAGAAGCTGTGTGTTGGATTCAGTGTACAGAGAGAGAGTAGCGGAAATTAGAGAGGAGGCTTGATGAGGACTGAGGTTCGATGTTCTCCAGGCAAATAACAACACTGTGTGTATGCGTGAAGCGAGTGCAATTAAGGCTGGAAGCCATTCATCTGCCAATGATGAAGCAATAATCGAAACATGTTTTACGTAAGGATGATACTGAACAATGGTGACACGATGTGAATAGATTTGAAATTCAAGAGAGAGAGAAACGTTTCCATTCGTTCTTCACCGTCAGACTGCCAATTGAACGTGTTATAAAGAAAGAAAAAAACAAAAGAACGATAAAAGAAGCGTCACATTTACATTTCGACGATGGAACAAATATTATCAGACACGTTTTGTTCGAGTCGAAGCTAAACGAAGAATACACTTACGGATTTCGAATCGACTTTCTGTCTCGTCACCTGAAGACTGCCTTTCCGCCGGGAGGATCGTGGCAACTCGAAGTTCGCAAACGAAAGATTCGCGCGGTGCCAGCAAATAGGGGCTTGAGAACGGCGGAGATGTGCAGGCTATATCGGCTTCGAAGTGCAGAGTTCTCGGGTGAAAATCAAATCGTATCACCCGTTTGTTATTGCAATCAGGAGCTAGGTGTTGTAATTTATAACTGTCGCACTTGTACAATCCTCGGTTATTATTTACGATTGGCTACTTTGTCGTCTCTACGAGGCTGACGAAACGAGAGAGATCGGGGTAGAGGAAGGAAGAGAGAAGAACGAGGAGAGTGTAAGTAAGCGACAGGAGGGAGAGAAACTTGCCTTTGTAAGGGAGTAAGTTTTGTGGTCTAAGGGGGCAGAGTAAGTTCTACGAGATCCGTTTCGTGTACGTTTCGAGGTCGAAGTACACACGGAGGCGTGAATCAGAGGGAGGTGGGCAGCTTGGGGGTAGTAGGGGTAAAGGAACGGCAAAAAGGTGGTGGTTCGGGGGGTGAGAAACGAACGAGGCTTTCTACGACCGACTCGACACGCGTCTACTAAGGGTGAAGCGGGCCAGTGTGTCAAAGGCTCGGTGAACGCGCGAACATCCGAGGCTCGTTTACGGTTTCACCGTTCACAAGGGCTCCGTTTGTCTGCTGGTTCACGCGTACGCGCCCTCTGGCAGCGCGCATAATGCTCACGTCGGTTTGGTTTCGCGATCGAAAACGAGTTCGCGATAGAGGACAATTGTCTCCAAGACTTGTTTTGTTTGTTTTCTTCTTTTAGAACCAAAGATCACCTTCGAACAGCGTTCTCTACAAGAGTGAGAAAGAAAGAAAGAGAAAGAGAGAGAGAGAAAAACAGGTGAGATATAGAAAGGGAAAGAAAGAGAGAGAGTCCCGTCGAAACAAGCGCCTCGACGCCCGTACAATCGAAGAGCGATGCGACTCGACGATCCGCTCGCGCGGACTCACGCTAGACGACTGCATGCGATACGATTACACGGCCAGAGCCACCCTCTGCCACCCGTTCGTACTCCCACCATCCACGACCACGCCACAAAGACCACGCCAAGCAAGCCAGCCCGCTCTCGCGTCTCGTCCTTCGCGTCTTTTCGTTCTTACGGAAGCGTCGCCACGCCGACAGACTACTCCTACTCCGTCTTCCAGCCACGCCACCCCCTCTTTCTCTCTTTCCTTCTTTTTACGTCGATCTCGCTGGGGAGCTATGCAGGCCTACGGTTACGGTTACAACCGTCAAACTCTCCCTCTCTCTCTCGTACTCCTCCTCTGCTCTTCAATGCTCTTCGTGGATTTTATTTCCAGGAAATCTGCACTTGGAAAAATTGGAAATCAATGGAGGGAATGGTACATGTACAGGATTGGTAATTCGAGTAAAAGGTTGATAATGAGTATTATATACGACCTTATGAATTTCGAAGAAAGTTTGGTCATCGGACGTAACATCTCGTACTGTGAATTTATTCGTAGGAAATCTGCACTTGTAGGAATTGGAAATCGATGAAGATGATAGGTGAAACGGGTTGGTTTTATGGTAGATACGTTTTATCAAATCGTTGGAGAGTGTATATATGTATGATAAGATGCGACGATGCATTAGCTTGAAATACAGCATCGATCAGTTTGGACGTATGCATTCTAAAGAAAGTTCCGAGAGAGCTGAAGCATTCGGGCTCGAGTATGGTCATTGGACCTAACACTACTCCATGCCCTGAATTTTTCCGATAATTGCAGCGCACTTGTCGTCCAATCGTAAAGGAGTGCTCTTGTTCGTATTGGACGCTCTCTCGACAACTAGTTACATTTAATCTCCGAGGATCTACGATCGATAGGGAATCCGGATTGGGTGGAAAGCGACTATCGGGGCCAGCCAACTTGCTGACGGAACGAAATCGTTACTTTACCCTCAACAAGCCAATCTTGCTTTCTGCCGTGTCGACGGAAGTTCGACACTCAGAGAGAGCTTCCAAAGGATACTCCGTATTTTCTCCTGTCAGATTAAAATCATCCAATCAGCATGAGTATCGCAATCTAGCATAGAAATCGATGAATATTACAAAACTGTCCGTATTAAAAATTTACGTTAAAACAACAGAAAAAATGTGTATACGTCAGTTTATTGGCTGGATCGAACCTTAGTCGTATAAATTGCGGCACAGTTTCTCGTTTAGCCTGAAGAACAAGCTTGGCACACTTGCGGACATTTTTCATTATTCCGCTATGTCATTCCTATCTGACAATTAAGCTTTCGTCCATTATTGGTCAGCCAATGTTTACAATGCTTTCGGTCAGTGATACGATACAGTGATGGACAGACAGAGCGGAGAGAAAAAAAAAAAAAGAAGTAGAGACGTCCGTGTATATGCAGAC